TTACAGTTAAGGAAACTGAGGCGAACAGAGGTTGGTTTTTTTGTTTTAGTTTTTTGTTTTGTTGTTGTTGTTTCAGTGTTTACACAGCTGGGAAATATCTCAGACTGAATTTGAACTCTGGTCTTCCTGACTCCAGGCCCAGTCACCTGGCTGTCTCACAGAATGTCACAACTGGAAGGGCCCTTAGAGATCATCTGGTCCAGCCCCTGATTTATGGCCAAGGAAACTGAGGCCCAGAAAAAGGGAAAGGACTTTTCCAAGGTCTTGCCACTTCCAACTCCAACAAGTCTCCTACTTCCAAACCTAACTCTCTTTGTATTGTTCCTGTTGCTTGTAGCTCTTGATGTGGGGAGTCCCGAGGTAAAAGGGCTGGATGGGGCTCTGTGTCAAAGGATATTTGGCTGGGCATCAGGGTCTTACAGAAAGGGCAGTAGATTTGGAGTCAGGGGACATGGGTGCAGATCCCTGCCCTGCTGCTCAGCAGTTGTGTGCCTTTTGGGAAGTCACTTCCTCTCTGGCTGCCTTAGTTTCCTTCATCTGTAAAGTGAGGGTGACGACTCCTGCCCACCCTCCAAGGTTGTCTCGGGTTCAGATGTGCTCACGGTCCTAAAGCGCCACATAAACCTCAGCCCACAGCAGTCCTACGTCTTAGAGCTAGAGGGAATCTAGTTCCACTTAGCACTGTACAGAGAAGGGAAAGACAGAAGCATTTATGAAGCCCCTGCTGTGTGCCAGGCACCAGGCTCAGGCTGAAGGAGGCACAGAGCCTGTGTCTTCACCTTCAAAACCAGTAGTCTTTACACCATCCACTCTGCCTGCAACATGAGCTCTTCTGTTGGCAGAAAGACTTCCGGCCTAGGAATCAGGAGACCTGTGTTGCCAAACAATTTGGTTCCAGTTCCCTTGCGCCTCAGTTTCCCTGTATGTGAAATGATGTAGGTATACTCAGTGATCCCTGCAGCTCTAATGTTCTCTAAATAATATGATCCCCTTTTCTAGCACACATTTTCAGTAAGGAGAGACAGCTATCTGGGACATGTTTGGGGTTGGCTGGGGACAAGCTTACGTGCAGGGGGAGCAGTCAGGTTCCATTGCTTTAGGATGAAATTTTTTAGGTAAAATTTCCAGTCTGGACCCCCATGAAGGCTGAATGGACAAACATTTTGTGCTTTGTGAAGGCAGAAAAGTCAGATTAAAATAGGTACAATTTTCCCACAATGCCCCTCTCACTTCTTCTTGATCTGTTGAAATTCTTCCTAGCCTTTGGGGCCCAGCTCAAGTTTCACCTCCCCCAGGAAGCCTTCCCTGACCACCTCAGCCCATGGAGATCTCTCTTAACCCTGCACTCATAGGGTTTTCTGTATGTACTGCTAATTATATGCAGCTGCTTGTAATTAGTTACTTTGGTGCCTTGGCCATTCTCTGCTATCAGACCATGAAGTCCCCAAGGGTGGGTAGGGGCTGGATCTTGTGACAGTTCCTATTCCTACAGCACTTTAGAGTTTATTAATGACAGTAATAATAATGGCGATAATTTATTGATTATTCAGTTTACACTTTCCACGCAATAACTCTGTGAGCCAGGGAGTATAAATATTATTGCTCCCATTTGACAGATGAAGAAATTGAGGGAAAAGGAGTATGCCTGTGGCCAGTGGGCAGCCAAGATAGGACTCAGACCTGGGCTTCTGCCTCCTTACATATCTCCAGCTCCCACAGGTCTAATGCAAGCCCCCAGTTACAGGAGGTGCTCAATAAATGCTCATTGGTCACTTAGTCTCAGAGGTTATCAAGTAAAATGGGATGCACCCCTCATGAGGTAGACCATGTTCTGTCCTACCCTCAGGTCTATAAATAACTTTTTATTGATATCTTTTATTTTCCCATCACTTCTGTTTACAAATATATCCCTTCCCACCCAGCAAGCCATCTTTTGTACCAAAAATAAAAAAAGAAAATTAAAAAAAAAAGTAGGTAGCATTTATGTAACACTCAAGGTCTGCAAGTGCTTCACAGATATTCTCATTTGATCCTCACAGGGACCTTGGAAGGTAGGTGCTCTTAGTGTCCCCGTATCACAGTTGAGAAAACTGAGGCAGTCAGAGGTTAAGTGACTTGCCCAAGGTCACATAGTAAGGGTCCGGGGCTGGATTGCAAGTCAGGTCTTCCTGAATTCAGGTGTATCCATTGTGCTACTTTAAAATTAGCTAGCAAAGCTAACCAACATGTCACCTGTGCCTGACAGTATATGCAGTGTTCCACACCTGTAGTCCAGCACCTCTTTAGTGAAGGGAGGAAGGCTCATTTTTTAATCTCTTCACAAACTTGGCTGCACTGGGTATGTGACAGAAGACCAGCTGTTGTTGTTAGCCTTTGGGTGGTCCAAGATGGCCAGGGGGTTTTTTCCCCTCCTTTTTTTTTTCCTAGGCCCCTATCTGAAAGGGAAGGAGGGGAGGGCATGGATGGAACAAGGGAGTGTGGTCAGCAGCTGAGAATTCTGGTCTCAGGGGTGTTGAAAGGGGGCACTACTATGTCTGGAAAAACATGTTGGCTATGTTGGGGGTGATTGAACTGGAAGATCTTCCAGGTTTCTGTGGCACCTGACTGTCTGTAGTTCTGGGATTGAGCATCCTTCTTGAAGAGTGTGTGTTTGGTAGAGAAAGGAAAGGAAAACGAGTCATGATCTGTGAAGGAGACCAGAACGTGGCCACCCTGGTCTAGGGAGTGAACAGAACCATGAATTGAGGGTCAGGAAGCCTCCATTCTGGCATGCTGGTGCTGCTCGGTTGAAACCTCCTCCTGCCTCTGTTTCTTCATTTTTAAAATGTCTTATAGAGCTCCAGCGTTGGAGTCAGGAGGACCTGAGTTCAAAT